ATAGCCTATAGCAATCAACAAGAGATATTAGACTGGACTTGAGCTCCAAGGATTAAACCTTAATCACAAAAAATGTAGTTACGAACCAATCGGTTGGCCAATCGGTTGGTGGACTAATAAAAATTTTAAATTTTGAAAATTTTGGTAGCTCCATCTCATCGAGGTAGGTGATTTTTTATATCATATATTAAATTCTACTTTCCAGATTGGAGATAATGAAGTTTCTTTATGGCTAATCATCCTGAATATGAATTTGATTTGATTTCCTTTCATATTGGATTCTTATTTCTAGGGCTTCAATACGGTGTTTGGCTTGATCTTGGGCTCCATAAAAGATTAAGAAAGGAGAAAATTTAATTCTTTTGGGTTCTTATTCATTAATTCTTAATTAACCTACAGATCAAGAGAAAAATAAGTTGGTGATATATTTACTCAAATAAAATAGATAATAAGGATATAAAAGTGTAATAAATATGACAGAAGCCCTATATATTTACTCAAATGGCTATGAATACCATGTTTTTTTTGGGCGATTCTAATTGACTTTGTATTACCCCTTACGCCCCTGAAGATTAACATGTTCAGTTATAGTTTGGGTGTGTTATATCGACGAAATCAATGGGAAGTGTGATAGAATATACTAACTTTGTTTACTCGAATAAATATAACTATCTAGTTTATGAGAAACTACAACATATACAACTATACCTAAAACAAAGAGAGTAATATGTATCATATAACTTATGAGAAAGTTCTCGCATACACAATGATGTGGCAAAATTTTGACCAAGTGATGTGAGTAAACTAACAAAGAAAGAAACTCATGTTCATTTGGCTGATAACTGGTCACATACATCTTTATAAGAGAATTCCCTCATGTATTATATGATACTCATTATTCTCTAAAACAAACCACAATTATTTTAGGTATGAAAGCATGTTTATAACTGCAAAGTGGTCTGTCCATGTTCAAGTAGAAAATGAAAGCTGTCCAAACTCAATAAACTTTTGTGCACAAAAGTAAAATAATAATCATGCACAAAATGAGCGGGTAACGGGCCATCTTTTGGTGGATTTTTAATTTAATTTAATTTATTTTATTTTATTTTGTGTGTGTCAAAATCTATATGATCAACGACAAGACAAATGATATGTTTTTTTAGTGATTGGTCATAGATAGGAGCTTAACAATTTGTCTTATGCTTGCTTTGTGGATTTTGTATAAGATATAATTTTATAAATGGTAGCTTTAATTAGTATTTACCAAAAATACCCAATGATATTTAATTATGACATGACGAATGAGAGGTCCTATGGCTCAGCTCTAAAATTGATTAAAGGTTAGATTACTTTAAAAAAACTTGAATCTCAACTGAACAAGGAAGTTCGGTAATTAGACCAATCAAGAAAGGTTAAAAACGACGAAACCGCAGTTACAGTGGCCATAATTCAAGCTTGACACTAAGAAAATCTTAGTGAAGGGAAAGGAAATTAGAGGATTGATAAGTTAGTGGATTGAGATGGCATGTGTCGGAAGCATGACATACAACGAGTTGGAATATGCATATCATGACTATTAATTAAAATTAATAAAAAATTAGAAGAATACCTAAATTATTTTTTGAATTTTTTTAATAATCTGTCCCAATATCAATCTGAAAGGCTTCCTCAAGAGAAAAAACCTTTAATTGAAATCCATCCGTTATCGAAGAGGAGCAATACTGAGAGATAGGTTCTCAAATTTCTATTTCTCTTCTGTTATTCTCTTAATCTCATAAGGTTACATGTGAACCATATATATAGGATTAGACTTGCCCTATAGATTTTAATTTTAAATAGTTCTTAATTGTTCAAAACTCTTTTCCATAATATTAAAGATATAATATTTTTTTATAACAATTAAAGATAGAATACTCTTTTCATAACAATTAGATATAGAAATAGAATTTTGTTGCGTGTATATATCTTCTAATGATATTAGTTAGATTAATTGGGTCTCATATTGAGAATTAATTATTAATCAAATTAATATTTTTTTTAACAATCAAGTCTCTGTCCGACTAACTGTTCATAAAAGCTCTTCCATAATATGTGATTAATTATATATAAATAATATCTTAAATTCAGTCCCTTCTAGTGTCATTTAGTTTAATTAACTCTTTGAGCAGGACACTTCACATATTTGCTCATGCCTAAATTTTAATTCTCATAAAGATAAATAAAACTCAATTTGAAACATCAAAATATTTTATTTTTATAAGAAAATAAATTTTGAAAAATATTTTTACATAATTCAAGCTTGACACTAAGAAAGGCTTAGTGAAGGGTAGGAAAATTAGAGGATCGATAAATTAATGGATCGAGGATGGCATGGTATCTGTAACGCCCCTGGTTTCAACAAGGTTACAGTCCGAGGTGAAACCAAGAATGCCAAACCTGCCATGTACTATACCGTGCAAAAACATGTTTCATCATCACAATAAGTATCTATCTAGTGGAAACAATAACGGGTGTAGACACAAACAGGCAAAAGAAAATATACGACAGAAATATTAAACAATAGATATTCTGAAAGAAATAACTACCAGTGATATAAATCAAAAGAATCTCAGAAAAAGGAACAATATCTGAACTGAGTACAACTGTCTCGACATAGAACAAATGACATGACAATAAGGCACATTGCCTTTACAAAACTAGAAATAACATCTCAATGTTCATAAACCAAGTCGTCGTGGAGTCCTAAACATAATCTACTAATAAAATATCTATAAGTAGTAACTAGAGCAAATCCATCAAGCTACGGCTCTCCGTGCACCTAGCTCGTTACCTGAAAGTAGGGAAACAACGAGCATCAAAACGCTATAGCGAGTAACATCTCAACCAACCCCAAGGGAAGGGATAGTTGGATAGAAAAATACTGATAATACATATACATAGTCATAACATCAAATTTGAAATAAAAATGGTAGTTTGATATTTAGGAATTTACAACATGTGAGTGGAAGTCTCAACCATCCCGTAAGCTCATATTGTAAACAGCTAACTATCAAATCCAACTATAACTTGGAACAAAATCTCCATTTCGAACTATCTCAAAAATATTCTATTAAATGTCAGAATACTTATTCAACTCTTGAACTTCCTCTACTATATGTTAGTTTAGGCAAAATTCACTGAATGTCCAACACATGGACTGTATGTAACCAATGTCCAATACATGAACTGTAATATGATAAATCCTAACACATGGACTGCACATGGGGTAGGTCCAACACATGGACTATAAATAACGTAGGTCCAACACATGGGCCGCAAAGCTACATGTCCAACACATGGAATGAAATGAGCAAATGTCCCACACATGGACTATATGATCGAGGTTCAACACATGGGCCATAATAGATAGGCGTCCAACACATAGACTACAATGGATTTCAAATTAAAAACATCTATATACTATCCACTCTCATGTCTCGGTGAAATAAACAAAGCCTCCTGTCTGTAGTCAACTCGTGAACACAATTCTCTGTGCTTAAAAATACCAAATAATCCAGAAATTTAGCCAGTCACACGACGTATGCACAAAACAAAACAGGGTAGAAAACTGACTCGCGGTCGACCGTCGCGCCCAGTGCGGTTGACCGCACTAAGAACAGAAACTCACTGTGTTTCTGTGCTCCCCAGCGGTCGACCGTCGCACTATGCACCGTCGATCGTGATCGATGGTCGACCGCCACGCCCAGCGCGATCGACTGCGATTAAGACAGAAACTGAAATCCAATCTGTGCACGATACGCGGGCGACCGCCGTGCCACCCGCGGTCGACCGCGAAGCAGAAAAAATCCTATTTTTAGGTTTTTGTTCTAACTGATATCGATCTCGATCTTCATGTGGTGTTTATATGTACTAGCAACCCTATGCATGTGATTTAATATATCTGGAACATGCTATAAACAGTCTAATCACTATAGAAAAAAAGAAGCGATTTAAAACATGCATATATATGACGAAACCTTCGAAAACAATTGTTTTTCTTTCAAAATTCTTATTATACTAAACACTAATTCAAAATCTACACTTAGAAAAACGTGGGTGATCTGTATTAATCTGAAAACATGTTCTTTTGCAACATACAATATAAAGATGAAACTTGCCTGAGGGGTGATGAGCAACTGTGGGTAAGGTCGTGAGGGGGTTCTCCTTCGCTAAACACCGTTGGATCTCGCTCGAACTCCTCAAAATCCTCCAAGAATCGCCCAAAGAACAAGCTAGGATTTGCAAGAGGGTAGGGGGAGGCTGCTAGGGTTTTCTATGATGAAGAGGAGGCTCTCCTGGGAAAAGTCGTCTGGTCGTTGTACGGTCGACCGCCGCGCCACGTGTGGTCGACCGCATAGCAGAAATCTGCTGTGCATGAACCTATCGTGTGCTGGTCTTTTCCACTTGATTTCTCTCACATAATCATACTTATTTGATCCCAAAACACTTGTTATCATACTCTTCTATGATCTAAACATATTTTTCATAATAAAAACTCATTTATTTAATCTTTGTAATATGTTCATAAACACTTTCTTTTATAACTATAGGGCTATAGGAGAACTCAAATTTCTTTGTCTTTTATTCTTTACTAGACTATCATTTGGTTGTTCTATGCTTGTGATGAATGACGACAATGCCCTCTCTTTATCCGCATGTAACATTTCTTGGTATAAAAGATAGCTTAAAAGGTTTGGAAGTTTAGTCTTCTTGTTAGTTGCCTTTCTTTGTACTATTAGGTCTTTTTTTGTCAATGAAAAATTTTATTCATTCAACCATTTTGAAAGTTTATAAATCATGATTCTCAAAACATGAGAAAGCCTAGCTATTAACAAAAATACAAGGGATAATCCCCACTCTCCAATTCCTAATTACAAAGAAGCAATCCACTCTCTATTTTCAGGTAAAGTAGTACTATTGAGAACTAAGATCAAAATATCAACTTTAATTTCTTTAACTAACTAATCAGCCCCCTTGGATTTTTGCAAAAATATCCTCGCATTTCTTTCATTCCATATCCTGTATAATGAAGCATTAAAAGCCATCCTCTTAATCCTTTGTTTAAATCTCTTGCCTCTCAAACTGGTAATATACCACTCCAAGAGACAGTTCCAAACACAAGAAAGCCATCTGAATTGGATCCACTTCATAATCTTGTTCCAGACAATTTTAGAGAATTCAAATTCAAAGAAGAGATGATCACAGCTCTCTGAAGCTGCACCACTGCATAAACAACATGAATTAGTGAACACAGTCCCCATTCTTAACAGCATGTCTTGCGTGAGCAACCTGTTTTGAACTGCAAGCCAGCTTATAATAGAATTCTTAGGATAATTCATTCTCTCCCATATAGTATTAAACCATGGAACTTTGAGAGAAGCCGGAGATAGAGCTACATACAAGGCTGAGGTTTTAACTTTTGAATTTTTGTAGCAAGAGCCAATAATATGCTCCAGGTTATCAATTCCACCAATTAATGTCATGGCTTTATCTCTGATTTTTAACATTTGCTTCCAAAGCCAAGAATTACTAGCTATTGCATTGACAGTCAAGACATCTCTGTTTTTCAAATAGTTGTCGTGTATCCATTTGATCCAAAGGAGCTCTTTATTCACAGGATGTACCAAATATTCTTTAAGGTTGAAGCAAAATTCCATAGTTTAGTAGAGAATATGCCTAATCCACCAAATCTTTTCTCCTGGCATATTTTCTCCCATGCTACAAGAGAAGGTTTATGCTTATGATCAGTTCTCCCCCAAAGAAAATCCCTGCATATTTCATCAATTTTCTAAAGAACACTCACTGTCAATATGTAGCTAGATGTCCAAAATATTTGAACACCTAAAATCACACTTTTTATAACCTGTATCGTCCCCGCATAAGAGAGATTCTTGGATTTAGCCCATCTCTGAAATTGATTTTTAATCTTATTGAGAAGGGGGTTGCAGTCAATATAAGAAAGCCTTTTGCATATAAGAGGGACTCCTAAATATCTGATAGGCAGAGATCCCTCAGCAAAGCCCAAAAAATCATTTATAGAGGGCTTAACAACTTCATTCACCCCACCAAAAAATATATGACACTTGTTAGATTTGCTTCAAGCCCTGTTGTTGCACTGAATTCTTGTAGACATTGGTGAAGCTTTTGCACAGATACCAGATACCCCTTGCTAAATAATAACAAGTCATCAGCAAAAACAAGATGTGTTATCTTAAGCCTTCTACATTTAGGATGGAATTTGAATTGTTTGTCATTTTTTAATAAGTCTAGGCATCCAGAGAGATATTTCGTACCAAGAATAAAAAGATAAGGGTGTAGACACTAAAAAATACCAAGGAATAAAGCAAGATTGAACCTCGCTACAAGCATGACGAGGCTCGTTATCACAATGAACGACATCTCAGCCAACGAAGCCCATCATGATGATGAACGTCATTGAAGACGAAGTCCATCCGCAGACAAACCTCGTCAAACGACACTTCACCCCTCAAAAGACGAACTTCGTCATTGAAGACAAAGTTCACCCAGAAATGAAGTTTGTCATTAAAGATGAAGTTCATCCAGAAACAAAGTTCGTCATTGAAGATGAAGTTTGTCCAGAAACGAAGTTCGTCATTGAAGACGAAGTTTGTCATTGCCATTATTGATGAACCTCGTACATAGCCGAACCTCGTCTGTTATAATTTTCAGAGACTATATTTAAGGAGGGTTAATGACCAATAATTCACTCATTTAAAGAGAGTTAATGACCACTAACTCACCTATTTTAGGAGAGTTAATGACATCATTTAAATGAGAGTTAATAATCACTAACTCCCTTATTAAAGGGGAGTTAAAACTCATTAACTAACTTCATAATGGTCCTAAGCCTATAAATAGGCATGATCAACATGAAAAGGGGAAAGAGATGGAGAGGCTAGTCAAAAAAGCCTATCTCTCCTCCACTCTCATGGATCTTCATAGATCATCAGCTAATCATTTGGCCTTAGAGCGTCGAAGCTCATAACAAGCATGACGAGGGTCATTACAGTGATGGACCTTGTCTCAAACAACAAAGCTTGTCATTAGAAACAATATTTGAAGCACATCAATGAAGACGAAGCTCGTCAGCGAAGATGAAGCTTGTCTAACAAACCTCGTCACGCAATGAGGCTCATCATCCACACGAAGTTCGGTTGTAATGGCCACGAGGACCAAGTCAGCTCACGTGGGCTAAATCTAAGGAGTACGTTATGCTCTATTAGTCAACATAGGCTAAATCTCAGGAGTCGGTTACGCCCACGACCCCACGATTGTAGCACGTCAATTACGTGCTAAATCTCTATAAATAGCCGCAAGCAACTATGAAGAGGGATGGGTTGGAGATTTTAAACTTGGACTTCAAGAAGCATCAGTGATCAAAGTTTCTACACACGGATCCGGAGTTCGAACCTCGATTCTAGCCGGTGAATGAACGTGAGAAGCTTTAGTGATCTTGGTCTGATCGTCAACGGGAGGCAATCTCGACTCGAGTATCGAGGGAAGCATCCTTTCGCTACCAAGAACCAACCTTAAACAAAAGAGAAGCTGAATTAATCTTCTCTTCATCTGTAATCGAGAGAGAGCGTGAATGATTGTAAGGGTTTCGTACCAAGCGATCGAACCTATTTTTTAAAACAAGAGAATCAATCCAATATCAATTTTTCGACCCTACAAACGATGGCGACCACAATGGGAGCATCCATTCCTTCCGACGAGATGGTGGTGATGCCATCAGATAAGATTGTTGTGGGAACGGACGTCGAGACTTTGGTCATCGAATTTGACCAATCCAAATATGAGGGGTTCCTATCCTCTGGTAAGTCTAGCCCCATGAAGGCACGTAAGTATCGTCGAGTCTCGTATGAGACTTCAGCCCAAGTGGCTTCTGATAATTCAACTCGAGTCAACCTCAAGAAAAAGTCCATGCCCCTCAAAGAGGAGGTTTCAGTAACTAGTCATCAGGCTAGGAAATGGGTTGTCAAGCAACCTAGCCGAACTTCAGCTTCTACTAGCCAAACTATGGCTTTTGATAACGAACCTCGCTCAGATTTGGCTGAAGCAGGAGTTTCTGTTGGTCCAATGTTGAGACGTGCACGACAATGTCAGCGCCAGAACCAAGCTCGACATAAGGCTCGAGCATTGGTCTCCGCTAGACGGTTTTTGCTATCGACCGAGAGCTGACCAACCCAAGGTCAACAAGTCTATCGAGGGTCAGGTGGTCGAGGAACGTCAAAAAGACGGACCTCATCCATGTACCCGAGTAGACTCAGAAGACGAACCTCATTCTCAAAGGGAGGTTCAACAAACTAAGCAAGTGGTTCATACTGAGGTTCATCCAGAAAACGAACCTCAAGTTAAGAACCAACTGAGGAGGCGAACGTGCCAAGCTCGTCCTATTAACAAACCTTGTCATAAACATATAAATGACGAAGTTCATCCAGCTACCCAATTTTGTCAACCTCTATCATTTAGAGGGTCTTGCTCAGGTAAAGCTAAGTTACCAAATTCGGTTGGGGGTAACCCTGACATTGATCTCTGAGATTTTCTCAATCGCAAACGCAGAATGAGTCAGATGCAGTCTTATTGCTGCTGTGAAAAGTTAATCTCCGTAGTCCTCTCCCAATGCCCATGTGGGGAATCAGTCTACAAGTCTACAGTCCTTGAACGACTATCAGAGCATTCGACGATTCCTTCGTCCAGAAGAAGACGCTTTCGTCCTAAAAAGCAAGCGTCCATAAATCGTCACGTCGAAGTGACGATCAATATGGTTAGTAAAGACAAGGGTAAAACCTAAGCCGATTCTTCTGAGTCCTCCGATCTTGAGTTTTCCCCAGGATTATGAGAAGCTCTAATTGAAAGACAGGGTGTTTACCAACACACCCGTACCCGTACTGGAGCAAGGATCTCATTGGATTGCCGAAAACTAGCGGGTATATCCTATGATGTCGATGAAGAGCCTGAAAACTCTATCATTACAACATCTTAACCTTCCAGCACCGATCAAAGTGAGCAAGTGAGCGCTCACATGGTCGGGAATGAAGAAGAAATGACAAGAAGGATGGAAGAACAACAAGCTACTCTCCTCCAACAACAAGAAACCATTAGACGCTTGGAGAATATGGTGGACAAACTCCTCAAGGAGGAGAAGAAGAAGAAATCTATCGTCGAATCCTCAGGATTAAGGTACCGGCGACCTTCACCCAGTACTCAGGAATCTAGCCATCGAAATCAAGATGGTGATTATGAAGAAAATGAGAAGAAAATATTTTTGATATTCACTCTGAATCATCCAAAGCTGAGTCCAACCCGCGTAAGGATGACCGAGATCATAAGTTGGATGATTTCTAGAAGCAGCTTGAGGGTTTGAAGCTTCAGAGAAACTTCAGAGAACTGGGGGGTCATCAGGCCATACCTTGCCGAATGGGATGCCGTTCCCTATCCTCCAAAGTTTAAACCACTCAGCCTCCTACAGTTCGATGGCAATGGTTCTCCGACTCAACACATTTATTATTTCTAGGCACAGACTAAACGCATAGTGGGGAATGGTCCTATTATGACTCGACTTTTTATTAGTACCTTCAAAGTGGTCGCTTTTGAATGGTTTCGCAAACTAGAGCATGAATCCATCATTTGCTGGAAGGACATGGAAATGCTCTTTCTGGCCAGATTCTTTGATGATGATACATAAGTATCTATGGCCACCCTGCTAACTAAAAAGCAGAAGAAGATAGAGTCTGTCAGTAACTTTGTTAAGAGATTTAGAAATCGGTCGCTGTATTGTCGTGATCAAGTCTCTAAAAGTACGTTGATCGAGATATGTAGAAATAATTTCTCGATCCATATTTTATCAAGATTGGAGCGGTGAAGACCCGAACTTAGAAAGAGCTTGTTCGCCAAGGAGAACATGTCGAAAGCATGCTCAAAAGGCTAGATGCTGAAGAGCCATGTGATTTTCAAGGAGGTGATGACCAAGACAAAGCATGCTCAAAAGGCTAGATGCTGAAGAGCCATGTGATTTTCAAGGAGGTGATGACCAAGACAACCTCACCCCTGGCCATGTGATTTTCAAGGAGGTGATGACCAAGACAACCTCACCCCTGAATCTTCGTCAAAGCAGAAGGGTAAATCTTTGGATAGGCGCTTTCAACAGAAGTACGACTTCCAAGATGATCAAGTCATCCCAATACTCAAATCCTTGATCAAGGCGAAAAAGATCAAGCTCCCAGAATCGATATGACCTGAGGATATGTCGAGAATGGATGAACCCAACTATTGTGCATACCACAGAATGGTTTATCATCCCACCTCTAAATGCTACACCCTGAAGGATAAGATCCAAGTCTTATTGGATGCATGAGTCTTTACCTTTCAATCCTGATTTACAGTTATCGCTGGAGTGGGGGTAGTCATGGTTTCTTTGCAAAACCATGTACTACCTTAAGCTTTCTCTCTCATGAACCCATGACGACCCAAAGCTCGTCATAAATCAACTCCAAGGTGAGTCTGAAGTCAGACGTGAGCATTTGGCCCCTTACTAAAATACTATCATGTTAATGATTACCTATGATAGTCACTTCCTCTAAATTCCCTTGTCAATCCTCTTTAATAGGATGGCGGGACTACAATACTATCATGT